TGGAGGCCATGGGAACTCCATCACCCAAAGGGTCCTGACTGGCACCCTGAGCCAACTCTGCCTCTGGCTGCCAGGTGTCCAGCAAGAAAGGGTCTGGGGCAGCTGGGCCACAGAACTTTCCGGCTCTCTGTGCATGGCACTCAGCTCCCTCAGCCGGCCTAAAAGGGACCCTGTGCGTTTCACAGTCCTCGAGCTGTGGGGTGGTGTGGTGGAGAACGCATGGACTTGGTCCCTGAGAGACATAGGCTTTGACCCCAGCTCCACTCTGCACCAACTGGGCAAAACAAAACAAAACCAAAAACACCAGTTGCTCTGGAGTCAACTCTGACTCACAGCGACCCCATGTGTGTCAGAGTAGAACTGTGCTCCATAGGGTTTTCAGCGGCTGATTTTTCAGAAGTAGATCTCCAGCCCTTTCTTCCAAGGCACCTCTGGGTGGACTTGAACCACCAACCTTCCAATTAGCAGCCGAGCGCGATCGCTGTTTGCACCACCTAGGGACTCCAGCCTTGGGCAAATGATGTAGACTCTTGGGACCTCCCAGTGTGATGGGAAGTACAGTGACACGTGGCACAAGGCTTAGCACACAGCAAGTGCTCAATGGAGTCTGCTGCTCTCCTCTCTGAGGTTAGAGACATGGAGAATGTGGTGCCCAGCTCCGTCATTCTTCTGATGGGGAAACTGAGGCCCAGAGGGGAAGACTGATCTAAGAGTGCACATGAGTTAGATTTGGGCAGGCTGGGGTTGGAATTGGAGTGTGCTGACTCTCCCCATTCAGCCCTCTTCAGTTGTACTCGGTAAAGACCACCACCATCATCACCATCATCATCATCATCATTATCACCATCATCACTTTCATCCCCATCACCGTGATCATCACCACCACCATTACCACGACTGTCATCACCATGATTATCACCATCACCACGACTGTCATCACCATGATCATCACCATCACCATCATCATCACCACCATCAGCACCATCATCACCATCACCACCACCATCACCATCATCATCATCATCATCATCACGACCACCTCCATCATTATCACCATCACCACTACCATCATCATCATCATCACCATCACTACCATCACCACCTCCATCACCATTGCCTCCACCATCACCACCACCATTCACCATCATCATCATTACCAACACCACCATCACCATCGCCACCTCCATCACCACCATCGTCACCACCACCATCAGTACCACCACGATCATCATCACCACCATCACCAGCAGCAGCAGCAGCATAACTAACTCTCGTTGAGACTCAGTCCTCACAGTGACCCACTGAGGCAGGTGTTTTTATTATCTCCATTTCATTGAGGTTCAGAGAGTGCTGGCAGACTGGCCCTGAGTCCACACATGTCTGACAATACATGGGACATCCTTTCCATCTTCAGGCATGCAGCCAAATTGGGCCTCCTCTGTTTGTGGGGCCCGGGACATGCAGGGTACAGAGGCATCCTCACGGCCTTCACTCCCATCATGGGGTGTGGGATGAGTGGCATCCCGGCTGGGCTCGGTTGTCCTTTAAGAGGATGAGGAGTCAGCTCTGCTCCAGGAGCCTGTGTTCTGGACTTCAGTGGTGACACGCTGGCCAGCTCTTGGGAGACGAGTGGAGAGGGACATGGTACCGGAAACAGCATGTGCCCGGGAGGGTATGACGCATGGGAAAGGTCAGCCCAGCCACTCGGAATTCCAGAACAAACAGCTATGGAAAAACCCTTGCTTTGGCCTCGTGGCAGCCGCCGCTGCGTCCAGGACTTCAGAGCCATTCCTTCCCCCTCTCCATTGCCGTCCACATTTTTGTCATAGTTTTCTGGGGACAGGCATGTGGCGCCACTCGCTTTTTACCCAGCCCTTCCTCCTCGAGCCCTTTCTCCTTTCCCAGCGGATCTCTCTCTCTTCCTTCCTTTATTATCCCCTCCCCCCACCTCCCCCAAGCAGGGGTCTCCTGCTTCAGGAAACTGCCTCCTCCATTCCAGCACCCAGTGGGCAGGGAGAACTATGGGTCTGTGCCTGCACACCGCTCCCCAGCTGTGCCTGCTGCTTCCGTGGGCTGCTTCCCTCCCACTTGGGGGTGTCCCTACCCCCCTACACTGCACGAGGGGCTCATGTTGTAGCCCTTCATTGCCCCACGTAATAAAGCCACCTTGTTGTTATTAGCTGCCATTAACTTGGCCCCAACTCCTGGTGACTCCAGGCACAACAGAACGAAGCACTGTTCGGTCCTTCACCATTCCCATAATCAGTTGGGGATTGGACTGTTATGATCCATAGGGGGATTGGACTGTTATGATCCATAGGGTTTTCACTGGCTGATTTTTGGAAGTAGATTGCCAGGCCTTTCTTCCTAGTCCATCTTAGTCTGGAAGCTCTGTTGAAACCTGTTCAGCGTCATAGCAACACACAAGCCTCTGTAGGCAGATGGGTGGTAGCCGCCCATGAGGTGTATTGGCCAGGAATCAAATCCAGGTTTCCCACATGAAAGGCGAGAATTCTACCACTGAACCACCACAGTCATCAAACATGCTGAAAGGGACCCATTTTAGAGAAGACACGAGCAGACTCTGACCAGTCGAGTCTGCTTTTGGAGTTCAGAGCTGGGAAGCTCTGATTCTGATTGAAGTATCTGATTGTTGGTGATGTTAAGAGGTGGAGCCAAGAACTAGCTGGGTGGTGAGTGGATCGGGACTTGAGCCAGTTGACCCAGACAGACCTGAGTCAAGTCCCACTTCACCACTCCAATGAAGGAACTCCAGACAGGCTCCCTGGAAGCTCTCCCTTCTCCGTTTTCTCTGACGCCTGCTTCATTATGGGGACTGAGATGACACCCATATGCGCCAAATGCAGGGCCAGCCACCCGGGGTGCCTAGTTTGACTGGCTCCTCCTCTCTCTGGCGATGCTATTGATTGGAGTAGAGGGGGAGACGTGTTGAACAGCTTCCCTCAAGAGAAGAAATGTCCAAGTGGATCACAGCAGTTTCGGGGCTGCTGTGAGTCAAAATCGACTGGTTCTTTTGTGTGTGTAAGGAGTCCCTGGGTGGTATACAAAGTGAGCACACTTGGTTTCTAACCAAAAGTTGGAGGTTTGAGTCCACCCAGAGGCACCTCAGAAGAAAGGCTTGGTGATCTGCTTCCGAAAGGTCGCAGCTTTGAAAACCCTATGGAGCACAGTTCTACTCTGACATGCATGGGGTTGCTGTGAGTTGGAGCCAATTCAATGGCAATGGCCTGTGTGTAAGGACTCTTCTCATTTGTCTCTCCTCTCCTGACATCTCCTGCACCCGTCGCTCAGGAAGCCCACAGTCCTCCAGGGGCTCTTGGTGCCTGAGATCTGGTTTTGCTTACAGGGAGCCGGGACAGTGCTTGGCCTTCATGAGGGAGAGCCCGAGGAACAGCTGTGGGGCTCTCCTTGCTGTCTTGCTTGTTGACCAGGTGGGATTCATGGCTCTCCTTTGCCCCTGCAGCAGGGAGGGCAGCTGTTCTGCCAACCTGCCTGCAAGCCTTTGAGGAGTTCCTAATTCCCTCGGCTGGGATTAGGTTCAGCTGGATGTATGAGTTAGCTTTGCTGAGTAACAAGTTCCCCCAAAGCTTAGTGGCTGGTCTCAGCAATGACATTTATTAAACAGCTTCTGGGGGTCAGGCATGAAGCACGTAGCTGGGTGGTCCTGGCTGAGGGCCTCTCCTAAGGTTGCAGCCATGGGGCTGCTATCCTCAGATTATCTCTCGGGGGCTGAGGGTCCATTTCTGTGAGGCTCACTCACATGGTGCTGGCTGGTGACAGGAGGCTTCCTCTGTGGCCCTCCCCTGGCTAAGCTATCCGAGAGGGCACGACAGAAGACACAGTGTCCTTTACAGTTTAGCTTTGGAAGCCACAGATTGTCACTTCCTTAACATCCTCTTGGTGCTACGGGTCAGCCCTATTCCATTTGGGAGGGACAGTACTGGGTGGGAATACCAGGAGATGGGGGGTCATTGGGGCTGTCCTGGGGGCTAGTTACCATACTGGGTATAACAGAAATACTCAAAATGACAGTGGCTTAAACCAGATAGTTATCTCTCATCTTCAGGAACTCTGGAAGTAGTCAGTGCGGAGTGGATGCCTTGTTCTGTGGGCCAGGGAACCAGAATCCCTCATATCTTGTTGCTCCTCCATGTCTGCCTTTCATTCACAAGGGCCCAAGATGGCTGCTGGAGCTCCAGCCATTATCTCCATATCCCAGCCAGCAGGAAGAAAGGAGGGAGCTAAAATCTAGACTGCTTTCCACTTGCCAGGCTAGTGCTCACTGCTCCACCGCCAGGAGGTGCCTCGTTCCAACTCACACGAGGCCCAATCCGCTTGCAGAGATGTGTGCCTTGTTCTAATTTACATAAAGACTAACAGGGTCCTGTTTATTGGTATTGTATTATTCAGCACTCTTTGGGTTGGGGAAAAAAAAAAGTAATTTATGGCTCTCTTACCTGGGAATGATTTAGGAGGACTGCAGCTTCAGGCACAGTTGGATCCAGATGCTTAACCAATGTCTATTGTACACTGTCTTCTATATTACATACTTGATTTTGTGTGTTGGTCTCAGTTTCTCTCCAGATGTGTGTGTGTGGGAGTGGGATGTTGGGGAGGTGAATTTGGCTGCAGACAGCTCCCAGCTTTCCTTGTCTTAGCTTACCAACACCCCCTCCCCTTCTGGGCAGGAGGGTTAGGAACTGTGACTAGAAGCCCCTTTAGAGACCCCTGAGACAGAATGGTTCTCATGAGGCAAAGGGGAAGGAGTGGTCACCAGAAGGAGGGAGGGGGTGTGGGGGGCACAAAATGCAGTGGTAGCTCACCCGGTGTCTTTGTCATTTGAGGGGACTTTGGGACTTGGAATATTTAAACGATCTCCATTTGAGTGTTTTGAGTGATTTGGGGAAATCTGAAAATGTGTAAACAATTCAGACGTTAAGACCCACCTTCTTCACTGTGTTTTTCCTTCTCCTGAACAGGGCAGCACCCTCAGGAAGCGCAAGATGTACGAGGAGTTCCTCAGCAAGGTCTCCATCCTAGGTCAGTGGCTTCTCCACCCCGCATGGGCTCTGTCTATCTGGTGTGGCCCCACCAGACAGCTGCAGCTTCTCCCACACTCTGCCTGGTTCGTGAGGGAAGTGCTCTTGGTATTCTGCAGCTTTGGGGACATACACACACCACACATGCATACGACACACCACACACCAACACACACACCCATACACATACACACACACCACACATATACACATACACGCTATATACACCATACACACATATACCATATACACACCACATGTACACATGCCACACATGCACACAACATAGCATGCACAGACACACACATACACCCTGTACACAGACACACACACCACACATGCATATAACATACCATACATAGACACACACATACCCCATACACATACACACACATGCAGCACACATATATATACCACATACATACACATTCACACTACACACACCATACACACACACCACACACACACCACATGCACACAACATGCACACAACATACCACTCACAGACACACACATATACCCCATACACAGACACACACACCACACATGCATGTAACACACCATACATAGACACACACCCCATACACATACACACACTCACCACACATACACACATACCACACACATACACACTATACACACCACACATAGACATACCACACACATCTACACTATACACACCACACATACACACACCACACACACACCACATGCACAAAACATGCCACACACACACCACAATGCACACAACATACTACACAGATACACCTCATACACACATGCACTCACCACACACACACTACACGTACACTGCACACATACATACACATACCTCATGAACATATACACACCACACATGCCACACAGAGACACATACACACATACCCCATGCACATACACACCCACCCCTTACACTACACATACACACACACCACACACACATGCACATACCCTAGACACATACACACACCACAAACACCACACGTATGCACACACATGCGCACAACACCACACATGTGCACCCACATGCACACAACACCACACGTATACACCCCCACACAACCCCATACACATATACACATGCATCACACACACTACACACATACATACACACACCCCATGAACATTAGCACACCGCACATTACACACACACCACACATGCAGACACATACACATAAACACCATGCACATACACTCACCCCACACACACCATACACATACACGCTATACACACCACACATACACACACATGCACACAACACCACACACACGCACCCCCACACACCCCATCACATATACACACTCATCACACACACATACCACATGCACATATAATACTCATACCCCCTGCACATACACACACCACACATGCTGCACACAGACACACACACTCCATGCACATACACACTCACCACACACACACCACACATGCACGCAACACCATACACGCACCCACACACAACATGCACACACACCACACATACATACCACACACAGATGCATACCACACACACATGCACACACCACATAGAGACACCCCACATACATCCCGTACACATACACACACACACTCACCACCCACACCACATACACACAGACCACATGCACCACGTGCACATGCACACACAGCACACATACACACACATGCACACAACACATCTCACACAGACACACACACCACACATGCCATAGACACACACACCCCGTACACATACACACACTGCACATACACACCACATATACACACACTTGCACACAACATGCCACACACACACACCTCACACACACACACATTACAGACACGCACTCACCACACACGCACACACGTGCATACATACATACACTACACAGGCACATACATGCAGACACTCACACACACTTGTTTGTTGGCCAAACCAAAGAACCCTTGCGTGCTCTCCTCTAGCACCCTGATTATCGTCACAGTAGAGTGTTTGCCTCCATGCTTTCATAGTCAACGTGTCCCGCTGCCCTCACCCTCATTCTCTTCTTCCTTTCCTCTATGTCTGTGTTGAGCCAAAAGTCAGTTTTGCTTTCCAATAAATGTGGTGAGCTATTCTGAGCTTCCCTGAGCCCGTTTAGGTTTCATCCTAAGTAGGATTTCTCCTGGCAGCCGCCCCTGCCCTTTGAGTTCTCTTTTAGTCCCTGGGTCTGGTAAACACATTGGCTACCTTTCCATTCATGTCCAGAAATGTCAACAAAGTTCTCTCCTACAAAATTTTGCAAATGTTTTGAAGTTAACTTTAACTGAAATGACAAGTAGATACCGTTCTAGGCAGCCTTGACCAATGGAACTTTCTGCAATGATGGAAATGCTTCATGTCTGTGCTCTTGAGCACTTGAAATATGGCTAGTTTGGCCAAGGAACTGAATTTTAACTTTATTTAATTTTATGTAATTTAAACATAAAGAGCCACACGTGGCTAGTGGCTGCCATTTTGGACAGCACAGTTTAGACCATGGAAGGGAGACCTAGTCGAGAAAGTGAGTGACAATTGAGTGTTAGGCCCCGGGAATGATCAGAAATAATGATTCAGCAGGAATTCTTGCAGTGACGTCCACAGTGTTAAAATCCGTAGGCCAGCCTTCTGGGTAAAGATGGCAGAGTAAGCATATTCTCTTTTTCTTAGAGCCTAATGGAGTGAAACGGAGAAGAAAAACAAAAACTAGCCAAAAATTAGTTGAGGTCTGAGAGGTGTCAGCAGCTGAGAAGCTCCCCAGGATTGGGACAAATTGTCCAGTTCTAAGACAGCTCCCCTGTGGAAATGGGGCAGACCTCCCCACTCAGTGGAGGGGACCCTCGTACAGGACATTTGGGTAAACTCAAAACTAGAACAGACCCTGGTTTCCAGCTGAACTCTCCCTCTACCACTCCCTAACACCCTAAGGCTGTAGAAAAATGGAAAGAATGCACTGATGTCCTGTAAACTAAAGATTAGATTAGGGAAGACAAAGTAGTTGCCTCAAGGGGATCCAGGAGGAAACTTTCCCTGCAAATTGGCCCCGTCAAGTTGAACAAGCTGGAGAGAAATGACATGGCAGCTATACAGACCAGCTACATGTGCAAGAACACTAAAGAGAAAGATTCAGAGCAAATGATAGATAGGAAAGAACTCAGCCAGGAAGAAAACATATCCAAAGAAACAGAAAACAAGTTCCCCTTGAAAGCTTTGGATATAGAATTTAATACAAACACGATTTCAAGAAAACAAAGGCCAGAAGATAAAACAACAGAATGAAATTAAAAGGAAGATGGAAGAGCTAAGGAAGCAAATAAGGACCGAAATAAGACTATTACAAAACCTGGAAATAAATCAGGAATCATAGGAACAGAATAAACACGGCTGATGCTGCAAACCTGCTTCTAGATCTACACTTTTGAAAACATCTCTCACAAGGACATAAGGAGACCTGGAAAAGGATGTTATTTTAGCAATTTTTACACTAACAAAAATGGGAAATGATCTAAAAATCCATTAATAGGGGAAGGGATAAATAACCATGTATATTTGTATGATAGAACATTATATAGCAGTTCAAATGAATGAACTAGATGTCCATGTATCAACATAGACGATCTCAAAAACATAAAACAGCACCTATATTTGCTTACTCATCTGTGTCAAGAAATTTGGAAGACAGCTCCTGGCCAACTGACTGGAAGAGATCCATATTTGTGTCCATTCCAAAGAAAAGCCATCAAATGGAATGCAGAGATTATCAAACAATACCATTAATATCACGTTAGCAAAATTTTGCTGAAGATGATTCAAAAACGACTGAAATCGTACATCAACAGGGAACAGCAAGAAGTTCCAGCCACATTCAGAAGGGGATGTGGAATGAGGGATGTCATTGCTGATGTCAGATGGATCGTGGCTGAAAGCAGAGAATACCAGAAAGAAGTTACCTGTATTTTATTGACTAAGCATTTGACCGTGTGAATCATAACAAACTATGGATAATATTGCAAAGAATGGGAATTCTAGAACAGTTAATTGTGCTCATGTGGAACCTGTACATAGACCAAGAGGCAGTCGTTCGAACAGAGCAAGGAGTTAATGTGTGGTTTAAAATCAGGAAAGGTGCGCGTCAGGGTTGTATCCTTTCACCATACTTACTCAATCTGTGTGCTGAGTAAATAGAGAAGCTGGACTACAAGAAGAACGCGGCATCACGATTGGAGGAAGATGCATTAACGACCTGCCATATGCAGATGACACAACCTTGCTTGCTGAAAGTGAAGATGCCTTGAAGCACTTATTGAGGAAGATCAAAGACTACGGCCTTCATTATGGATTACGCCTGAATGTGAAGAAAATGAAAATCCTCACAACTGGACTGGTAAACAATATTATGAGAAATGAAGAAGAAATTGAAGTTGTCAAGGATTTCATTCTGTTTGGATCAACAATCAACATCCGTGGAAGCTGCAGTCAAGAAATCAAGCTATGTATTCCATTGGGCCAATCTGCTGCAAAATACCTCTTTAAAATCTTAAAAAGCAAAGATGTTACTTTGAGGACTAAGGTGCAACTGACCCAACCCGTGGTCTTTTCAGTCACCTCATGTGCATGTGAAAGCCGGACAATCAAAAAGGAAGACAGAAGAAGAATTGATGCATTCGAACTGTGATGTTGGAGAAGAATTTTGAATATACCATGGACTGCCAGAAGAATGGAGCCCTGGTGGTGCAGTGATTAAGACCTTAGCTGCTAACCAGAAGGTCGGTTGTTCGAGTCCACCAGCAGCTTCTTAGCAACCCTATGGGGCAGTTCTACTCTGCCTCTATGGGACAGTTTTTGTTTTCCAGAAGAGCAAATTAGTCTTAGAAGAAATACAACAGGAACATTCCTTAGAAGTGAGAATGGAGAGACTTTGACTTGCTTACTTTGGACATGTCATCAGGAAAGACCAATCGCTAGAGAAGGACATCATGTCTGGTAAAGTAGAGGGTCAGTGAAAACAAGGGAAATCCTCCATGAGACGGATTGACACAATAGCCACAACCGTGGACGTAAACATAGCAACAATCATGACAGTGGCACAGAACTGGACAATGTTTCATTCTGTTGTACATAAGGTCACCATGAGCCAGGCCTGTCTTGACAGCAGCCAACAACAACATAACAGCTTCTCCCCAGTGAAAGGTGGGACCCTTCCCTGGCACCCAGGAGGAGACAGCTTGTGAGGAACTCAACCACTGCACACCTGTTCACCTTGGAACAGGCAGGGTCCTGGGCCAGGAGGTTTTTTATCCCTTATGTTTAATGTTTTGGGAGGAGTCCCTGGGTGGCATAAATGGTTAAGTTCTCCACTACTAGCTGAAAGGTTGGTGGTTCAAACCCACCCAGAGGTGCCTCGGAAGACTGGCCTGGCAATCTGCTTCCAAAAGATCACAGCTTTGAAAACCCTCTAGAGCAGTTCCAGTCTGCACACATAGGGTCACTGTGAGTCGGAATCAACTGTATGGCAACTAACAACATCAGCGATGTCTTGGGATTTTATAGGCCTGTCTGACACTTAAAACATCTATTTGGCCTTGAGTCTTTGCTTTTCGTTTTCCTTCGATTAATGTGGATGGTAGCCACCGAGTGTGTCTACCTCCTCTGTGGCCTTCTGAGGAAGAAGAGCAGGATTCTAATCCCTTCGCTCAACCACGTCAGCCGCACAAGTCCTCAAAGAGGAGCCGAGGTGGGCGAAGCCGCCTGCTTTCCCAGCAGAGGCTGCGGTGAGCAACTGGGACAGCTTTTCCCCTGCAGTTGAAACTTGGAAATTGTAGTTGTGCCATTTGGTGCCCTAAAGGTCTGCTTTCTTCTCACATATACGTAAGAACCACCCTCGTCGCTGCAGAGAGAGTGACAGGGACATCACTGAGCTTGGCACATCCCCTGGCGGCGTCGGTACTCCATGGCAGGGACTTGCAGAATCCCATCTCAGGGTCATAATTTCCGCAGACTCTTTTCCCAGGCAGGTACGCCTTGTCCGCCCTTGGTTCGTTCCACTCTCTCTTCGCCCATCCTGCATCTGCAGCTGCCCCGTGGGAGGAGCTTTCTGGGACACTGACCTGCATTTATGATGAAATGTTTAAATCACCTTTAAGCAGAAAAGCGGATATTAAAAGAGGGATTCCCTGCAGCCCGGTGTCTCAGGGGTGGTTCCGTTTCCTGCATGTGGCAGACCTTTAGCTCTGGCACCCTGTAGCCTTGGGGATTCTGAATTTCAGCAAAAAATGCCCCAAATGCTTTTGCGCTTCATGAATTGATTGCCTCTGGGGACGTGTAAAATATTGGGGCAAAATAATTGCCCTTCCCCTCACGGCTTCTTCTAAGAGTTCTCACCAAAGATTTATGTAATTGAGGGGTAAAGCTGTTGCTAATCTTGATTTTCAGAATACCAGGTTTCCAATATGATAGACTACCACCCATCTGTTCATTTGTCATACCGTGGTGGCCTACATGTTCCTGTGATGCTGGAAGCTATGCCTCTGGTATTTCCAATACCAGCAGGGTCCAATAGCGGACAGGTTTCAACAGAGCTTCCAGACTAAGACAGAGTAGGAAGAAAGGCCTGGCAATCTACTTCCAAGACTCAGCGGGTGAAAACCCTGAATCACAGCAGATCATTGTCTGACTCGTTTGCTTTGGATACGTCATCAGGAGGGATCAATCGCTGGAGGAAGACATCATGGTGAAGTAGAGGGCCAGTGAGGGCAAGGGAGATCCTCAGTGAGGGCAAGGGAAATCCTCAGTGAGATGGATTGGCACAGTAGCTGCAACAATGGACTTGACCATGCCAGCTGTTGTGAGAATGATGCAGGAACGGGCAACGTTTCATTCTGTTGTACATGGAATCTCCATGAGTCACAGCTGACTTGCCTGCAACTAACAACAACATCATAATAGGAAAAAAAAATCTGCTAATCAAACGTGGGAATAAGCGTCCTAACTACAACACGACTTCTAAAATCAGGCAGCTATTACTGTCCTTGTAAGGACACCCCAAGAAGCAGCCCAAGTTCACAGATCTATCTGATTACATATGGATTTCCTCTAAAGGCAAACCGTGATTTCACTCAAAAGTTACTCGAATCACCATGACTGGCCCTGCCTGGGAATACCGCTGGCTCCGAGTGATCGAACAGCTTCTGTCCAGGACAGACCTCATTTTTAGAAGCTGTTCACACAAGCATCATAAGAGTGGCTGTACTGCCTTTCACGACACCCACAGACTCTCCCAGTCCTTGGGTGGGTCAAAAGCCTTGGTCTTTGCAATGTGTAACATGGTCAGGAGCTTCCCAGAAGAGAAACCCCCTCCTAACCTAGATCTCAGATGCCTTGCTTTTTATTTTTAGCAGCTGGCCTGCATAAGCAGCATCTGATAAGTGTAGGCCAGAGAAGAAAGAGTTAATCAGGCAATGATTATTTTCTTATAAAAGCAGCACATTATTATTTTTTTCTTTCCCAAGGATTAGGGAAGGGAAGGCATGAAAAGGGGTGGGGAAAGATACATTGAATTTGCAAGCTTTTAAAGATGCACTTGGCACTGGAATTAAGTCTTTTGACCTGAAATAATGGGAGGTATACTGTGTCTCAATATTGTACCATCAGTGCAATTCTGTGTTCTTTGAACAGCCCTCTGGTGGATGGTGTGTCTTCGAGGGACGGGTAATGGCTTCAACCGCTCTGAATTGTTTTAAACCCTAATAGTAGGAGGGCACTTGGCTATGACTCCATTGTTTGCAAAAATATGTGCAGCTCTATTCTTTTCAGGATAACAAAAGTGTTTTCATACCAAGTTACCTTAGACTTCATTTTCAGTACCTGTTATTTACTTAAGCCAATTTTAATTGTTAAAATAGCTCCCAGTCTTAATGCCTCCTCAACCCAATGAAGACAGAGTGAAGATGGAGTATTAGCCGTAAGCATCGTGGGTCCAGCTTAATTTAAAAAGCATCCAGACCCTCCCAGCACAGAGATGTGTTTGGGAAGTGGGCTTTTCCAACCTTTGCTGCTTTATGTTTTATTCATTCTTCCATCTTAGCAAAGCTCGTCTTTGGGTGTTTTTTGAGGAAGTGGCTGGCCCTGTCCCTGATCGTTGAGGGTAAGGTTTCCACCCTGAGTGACATTCTCCTTGCTCTGCCCTCCTTAGAGTCCCTGGAGAAGTGGGAGCGGTTGACAGTGGCCGATGCCCTGGAGCCTGTGCAGTTTGAAGACGGAGAGAAGATTGTGGTCCAGGGGGCTCCTGGGGACGACTTCTACATCATCACAGAGGTGAGTCCTGCCCATGCCGCATGCCTAGATGGCGGCTTTGTGCAAGAGCGACATGTGATGGTGAATTTTATGCGTCCACTTTTGAGGCTGCCTTGCCTGGTTGTTTGTTCAAACACTAGTCCAGATGCTGCTGTGAACTAGTCGTTGTTAGCTGCCATCCATTCGGCTCCCAGCTCATGGTGACTCCATGCATAATGGAACAAAACTCTGCCAAGTCCTGCACCCTCCCCATGATCACTTGCAAATTGAACTATTGTGATCCATAGGGTTTGCATTGGCTGATTTTTGGAAGTAGATCACCAGGCCTTTCTTCCTAATCCATCCTAGCCTGGAAGCTCTGCTGAAAACTGTTCAGCATCATAGCAACACGCAAGCCTCCACTGGGATGGGTGGTGGCTGCGCATGAGGGGTTTTGGCTGGGAATCGAATCCAGGTCTCCTGCATGGAAGGTGATAATTCTACCCCTGAACCACCACTGCCTCATTTTGAAGTTGTTACATGTTATTACATCAGTAGATCTTAAGTAAAGCAGATCACCCTCTATAACGTGGGTAGGTCTCATCCTATCAGTTGAAGGGCCTGAAGAACAACTGAAGGCACCTTGGAAGAAAGGCCTGGCAATCTACTTACAAAAAATCAGCCACTGAAAACCCTCTGGAGCACGTTTCTACTCTGAAACACATGGGATCACCATGAGTCAGAGTCGACTTGATGGCAGTTAGTACTGTTAGTTAGTTAGTACACAGGCGCGCATGGGTGTAGTACAAGTAAAACTAGGGTGATGTGATTAAGATTGGTGGACTATATAAATGGCAATATCCTGGTTGTGATGTTGACTGTAGTTTTGCAAGCTGTAACCATCGGGGAAACTGAATGAAGGGTACACGGGGTCTCTCTGTGTTATTTCTCTCAGCTGCATGGGAATCTATCATGATCTCAAGATAAGAAGTTTAAAAATGCTCGCGGGTCTCAACTTGAGCCAAGCAAATCCTTCCCCTCTCCTCTCTCACCCCCTCCATGAGGGCAGGGTGACAGTTGGCTCTGTGATACCCTGGGACCTGTGGGGGCTATACCACATGGTGACTACAGTTGAGTGCATCCTGGGTCTTAGTGAGCAGCTGTCATGAGATGGGAGACAGGGAGGGAATCTGGGAGTGACAGTTGAGGGATCCGCAGTCTGTATTGGGAGGTGCCTTCCCCTGCGTTGGGGGGGAGGCCATCCTCTTCCTACTGATTAGCGTGGGTGTGAGCATGGGCCCAGAACCTCAGAGCTGTCAACGCGTCACCTCTGAGGCCTCGGCCCTGAGCCCCACTTTGGCATAAAGTGAGCCCCACGCCCCAGTCCAGGAACAAATTCTCTAACTGTGTGGACACCTTCCCTGATTCCACAGAGCCAAAAATACATGCCTATTTGTTTGGCTTACGTCCTGCTTTTCTTGTCCTTAAGGGTCAGAAGAGTCCTGTCTGTGTGCTCTTTCTAGAATGTTCTCTCACTTTGTATTTTGCTGTTGAAGAGAGGGGACACTTGAGTGTTGCAGAGTTTGCCTGGCCAAGCAAACTGTCATCTCCAGATGAAACTCACACCCCAGCCGATGCTGTCTGCAGCCTTGAGGGTCGTCATGTGGCCAGAGGGGACATGCCCCGCTGCTGAGGAATATTAGAAGGAAAGGAGGTGAGAGGAGGGCACGACCCTGGTTGACGTTGGTCAGCATGACCCAACGCAGGGCCCATTTTCTTGGTTTAGAATAGCAACAGGGACAGCAGCTCAAGGCCAAGATCTTTGACTCAGGATTCCGTGTGTCCGTGCCCAGTCACCTCTGACCATCCACAGAGCAGAGACGACAAAGTGACGTGAGGTGAGCACAATGCATTGAGTGCATGTGAGACTGGACCCTCAGGTCTGCCCCTTTGGGGTCTCTCATCAGGCTTCTCTGTTCTTCCCCTGCTCCCTCTGCCTGCTGCCCCCCAGCAGGAGAGAGCCAGGAGGATGTGGCGGGAGACAGAGGGGGCAAGGGAGCCTCGGCAGCCAAGGGAGATGTTCACCTTTCTAGAGAGAGGCACGAGGGGGGGCCTTGACCAGGCCGAGACTGGAGCCTACTGGATTTGGGAGCCTGGACTCTACTCTCTCCCCGGCCCCATTCCCAGCACAGAGCCCCAGGACAGAGGAGGCCCTTGGAGAATGCATGCTGAGGAATGAATGAGTGAGTGAATGGATGAATGAATGAGTGAGTGAGTGCATGAATGAATGAATGTGTCAGTGAATGAATGAATGAATGGGTGAGTAAATGAGTAAATGAGTGAGTGAATAAATGAATAAATGAGTGAGTGAGTGAATGAATGAATAAGTGAGTACGTGAGTTAATGAGTGAGTTAATGATGACAGTGGTCTTCAGCCTGAACTTACCAGCAGCTGCACATGTGTTTCTATAAGAACCTGCAGTTGGAGAAGAATTCTCAGGCAGTGTTACTTGTTAGGGTAGGAGACTCATTCAACAACAGTTTATCTTAAAAAAAAAAAAAGGAAGATAAAACAAACCCACAGGCAGAACAAATTATGATTCTGGTCAGAGTTGCCTGAGTTTTCCAGATGATGAACCTGAGAGGAGGGTCCACCTAGCACTTTGAACTCCTCTCAGCCCCCAGCGATGATCTCCGAGGCACCTCCCAAAGGCTCCTGCCTTGAGCCTCTCCAAAGACGGAGCACGCCTCGTCTGGGTCCAGAGGCAGAGGCACAGCCTTTGTAATTGCTGCTTGAGGCCAAAGTACTGTTTTAAGTGAGGATACTTCTGAGGCTTGTATTTCAGAACGTCAAGGGGTTGGCTGTACCACAAGGCTTGTGTTTTTATCTCATTAAATTCTCCTGTGACTCTGGAAAAGGAGCCCCAGGAGGCTGCCTACATGGTTATCTGAAGGACATTTCAGCAGGAAGTTATTTGCACTCCACACATCCAGCCAAAACTACCACTGGAAAAAGAAGATGGGCAGAACTCTCCCCTCTTGTGAGAGGACTATGGGGAGGCTCTACTGAAAATAATCCTGCATGAGCTGATCCAGGATCTTCAGCACGAAGGGCTTCTACTTTTCTTTGCTGGCAACCCTCTCATGCCCAGCAGTTATGTCCCCTTGTTGTTAGCTGACATCGAGTCAGCCCCCGACTCATAGTGACCCCGTGCACAATGGAACAAAATGCTGCCTGGTCCTACGCCATCCCCATGATACAGTTGCAGATCAGACCATTGTGATCCATAGGGTTTTCATGGGCAGATTTTCAGAATAGACCACCAGGCCTTTCTTCCTAGTCTGCCTTAGTCTAGAAGCTCCACTGAAACTTGTTCACCATCACAAGCCTCCACTGACAGACAGGTGGCAGATGCGCATGACGTGCATTGGCCGGAAATCAAACCCTGGTCTCCTGCATGGAAGAGAATTCTACCGCTGAATGGCCAATGTCCCCATGACTGACATAAAAAACCAGTTGCTATTGAATCGACTCTGACTCATGGCAACCCCACGTGTGTTGGAGTAGAACTGTGTTCCACAGGGTTTTCGATGGCTGATTTTGGGAAATAGATCACCAGGCCTATCTTCCTAGTCCATCTTAGCCTGGAAGCTCTGCTGAAACCTGTTGAGCATCTAGCAACACGCAAGCCTCCACTGGCAGATAGGTGGTGGCTGTGCATGAGGTGCATTGGCCAGGAATTGAACCTGGGTCTCCTGCATGGGAGGTGAGAATCCTACCACTGAACCACCGATGGCCTCTTATGCCCTCCTAATGGCCCATAAAGATCTCTATTTTCACTTAAGCTCCTGTTCTCTGATACTTCCCTCTTCTAGGCCTCTATCTGGGCCTGACATTTCCCAGTTAAGAAAATGAAGATTTATGACTCATGTGACCTCACCTTGCTCAGGTGGAGGGAGATTCCTTCAGCCATCGATTTGTTAGGTCCCCACGTGGCATATTAAAGATGGCGGCAAATTCTTTGATACATTTCCCATTGAGAAGTGGTATCTAACTCATCTCCCCTGGAACTTCCCTTCCTGAGTCCCTGAGTAAGATCTCTGGTGGCACAGTGGTTAAGTGCTTGGCTGCTAACCAGAAGGTTGGCAGTTTGAACCTACTAGGTGCTCTGCAGGAGAAGGATGCAGCAGTCTACTTCCATAAAGATTTCAGCCTTGGAAATCCAGTGGGGCGGTTGAACTCTGTCCTACAGGGTCGCTATAAGTTGGAATCAACTCAACAATTTGGGTTTGGTTTAGATTTTAGTCCCTGAGTGTTGCAAACAGCTAAGCACTTAAGGTTGGAGGTGCGAATCTACCCAGAGATGCTTCAGAAGAAAGGCCTGGCGATCTACTTCTGAAAAATCAGCCATTGAAAACCCTAAAGAGCACAGTTCTACCTTGACACGTGTTGGGATCACCACAAGTCAGAGTTGACTTCATGGCAGCTGTTTTTTTTTGGTGGGGGGTGGGTGGGCTGGTCTTAGGGACTTGCTCGACTCAGAGAATGCAGCAGAAATGGCGTGGGACTCCCAAGGCTGGGTCACAAGGAGTCTTGCAGCTTCTACCATGACCTCTTGGAACCTGGTTTTTGGGAGGCTCCTGCTTGTAACCCATATGACCTGGCGGAGTGTTCAGTCAACAGCAACAGTGAGGTCCCAGTATCAACCACTGGACATGTGAGTGTGCCAGCAGCTCCAGCTGCCGTCTGTCTAAAACCGCATGAGCTATCCCAAGTGAGAACCGCCCAGCTGAGCCCAGCCAACTCCCAGAGCAGCAAACCGCACAGCTGAGTCCAGCCAACCCTCAGAGCTAGGAGATAATGGCACATTGTCATTTCAACCCATTAATGTTTGGAGTGGGACACCCCTCTCATCAGTTATTACCAGCAATGGATGGTTAAATATCGCCTCCTCCTGGCCTAGAAAAGAGAACAGTGAAAGGTAGCTCTGCTAGCCGCTCTATCGCCAATATGAATAGTGTAATACAGGTGGTCCCTGACT